AACGTTCACAGTCTAGCTGTTTAAAAGGAACAAAGGAGAAGAAATGAAGATAGAGCACGTGTATTTCTTTGGGGTCTGTGATATTTCATCTCTAGTGAAGTCAATGGCAAAGCTCCTGCTCACGGTCTGAAGCTAGGATTCACTGAAGTATTTAATGTACATGTGCACCACCTAGCACGTTTTAAATGCTACTGCAATATGAATATATGTAGCTTAGGTTTAGGATAAGACACTGGGAGATCCCCTTTCCAAAATGATTAAAGCATTCAGTTCATAATAGTGTTTTAGTAACAAAGCTTACTAAACTACTACTTTCCATGCAGTTGCTAACAAGAAATGCGTAACTGACAAAAAATTATCATCCCTTAAAATCTTCATAGGCTACATGTCATACAAAGAAACAAAAAAACAGAGAGTGAAAACCAAGAGGTACAAGGCTAGGCAAGTACATCTTCCTCAAAGAGGAAAAAAATCTAACATCCAAGAAACCAATGCCCACTGCCTAAGCCATGCTCATGCATCAAAAAGCAAGAAAAAGTAACCAGAGATGGGAGGCTTGGCACCAGCTCTGCTGCACACTCATCCTCCCCACTCCTCCTACAAAGGCCATTCATTGCCATCTTGTGTTGGAAAGCTGTATGGCGACTTAATTACCGCACAAAGTTCACACTATTAAGGAAGTTTCCTTTGGCCCTTTATATAAAAACAGCAAGTCCAGCAGAGTGGAAGTCAGGAAACAGTTTGGTAGTTCTGGGAAGCCTTTCACTGGGAGCTCAACATTAAAAAAAATTACCATGTTAAAAAGTAGTCTACAGAAAGAAGATTTATCCACGTGCTATCAATTTTGCATAGAACTATAGCATATTGCCGCTGAAATTACTACTCTATCATTTGTATTAAAAATAAAACAACATAAAATATAATATTTATGTTGAAATCTTTCTTTCATCGATATATTTTTTTCCAGAAAAAGAACAAGTATTATGCAATACTGAAAAACATAATTAAAAAGATACTGTTCTAGAGAAGGTGTGACTTCTACTGTCAAAAGACCAGTTTAAAAAACAGAAAGCATCATAATGCAACTGTATAAACCCAGAATGCAGACATATTTCAAATACTGTGTGCAGTTCTGCTCTTTTATCTTAAAAAGGGTTTAGTAGAACTAAAAAAGGGGGGAAAAAAGAGTGGCAAGGCTGACTGAAGCTATGAAACAATGCCCATGCAAGGAGCAACTACACAGATGATAACTTTTCAAACCAGGATAAAGAAGAGCAAGTGCGGGTAGCATAAACATCTACGAAGTCATGAGTGGCACAAAAAACGTATAGGGGAAGATTACTGAATGTTTTTCACAGTGCAAGCACTACAGAGAATGAAATGAAACTGGCAGGTGGCTCAAAAACAAACAAAAGGAAGTACTTTTTCCACACAATCTGTAGTTAAACTCTGGAACTAATTGACACAGGATGTTGCAGATGCCAAAGTTTACACGAGTTCAAAAAGCAATTAGAGAAATTCACAGGAGGAAAAAAAAAAAATCCATGAATGGCTATTAATCACAAAGATATTACCTCAGGATTAGGAAATCTTGGAACTACAGATTGTTAGATGCTGAGAGTGCATACTGGGCAAGTACTACTGCATGCTTAACCTTTTCTTACCCTGTTCCCCAAGTACATATGCCTGCTCATTGCCAGGGACAGGACACTGAGATACACTAACTGTGGAACTCTTTCAATACAGGTATTCTTATGGACCAATTGCACTTTATGACATTTTTGAAATAAATTTTTCCAATTCAGCTATTTATCTTCTGCTCTGCCCCTTTTTGTATCTTACAGCCCTTTCTTACAGATGGTCTCTAGTCCTAGGGCTTCTTTATTTCCATAAACTCGGTAATTGTTCCTTGGTACAAGTACCATGATGATACCTGTGATAAGGAGTACACATATCACATTTAAAGCCTCTTCTTTGAAGAAAAAGTAACCTTCAGCACATTATAAAATATTTAATTTCTTAGAAACCGTTCAAAAGATCTGTTTACACTCTTTAAAGTACCTAGAATAAAACCTGAGAAGTAAACACCACGAAGGAGCAAGACTTGGGGCCTCAAGGTCATCAAGGAACACTCACATATAGGGTTAACATACCATTCAAGGCTGTAGAACACATAATAAAGCCTGCTCAAATAAGTTTTGAGTCTTGTATAAGCTCTCATTATGAGACTGGGTCACCCACATTAGAAACAGTTTGACGTGAACAAGTATCCTGAACAAACAATAAAACACTTCCAGTGCTTCAGCATTAAAAGACTGATGGAACAGAAATGAGACAGTGTTGCCATATCAGCAGCATCAAGAGGAAGCATCCCAACCTCAGGTGTACAAGTAATTTAGATTTGCAAGCACCGTTTCCAATCAGGAAGCTAGTGCCAGCCTCATATTTACAAATTTAAATTGTAATTAAAAGACCGTTTCTAACCTCAGAGGAAGGACATCCTGGAACATATTTTCAGAGTAAGTAGTGAGCCTCAACAACTTAATACTGATTTAAAGATGGAGCTCAAGATACATGAATGAGCTGGGTTATATAAACACAGCTGCCTGGAACAGAGACTGGACTTCATGATTCAGGAGATCCCCTCCATTCTACTCCTAATTAAAATACAAGTACTTTATGAATGTCTGTTGTGGGAGTCAGGATCTTTTTTCCTTAAGCAGAGTCCAGATCATCACTAAATGCTGTAAGAAGGAAATTACTTGCATAGACATCTGAGAGTTCAATGATCTATACTATAAAAGTCTGTCTCAGGAGTATAAAAAAACCCCACTGCACCACAGAAAAGCACTCTGTTCACTAAGGGAAAGCAAAGAAATCCCTTTTTTCTGTCATTTGTCCATAAAAATTAAACCCACTTTGCAATAAAAGCATACAGAGAGTAGAGAGAACATTGCTGATTTGACTACAGAGCTAAGCAGTGGGAGCTTTAAAATCTTCCCACAGGTACAGTAAAACAGAACATGTCATCATACATCGTTTCATGCTGAATAACAATTATTTCCTTAGAATAACGTGTGTGGGATCTGTGACCTCCTGAATCTAAAGAAATACAGTGCAGTGATGGTGTTTTCACTACACAGTAATTTATGAAACGCATACTACAGACCTGAAGCATATATACTAATATCCAGATACCAAGGATTATAAACACACAGACAGGCTGCTCTTACAGGTCTAGTCTTAGTTTACAAAATAACAACCCTAGCTGTTACTGCTTTGAAATGGGAGGTTATTCCTGACCCTGGTGAGAAGCACAATTGACAAAGCAAAAATTCCAAGTCAATTTCAGTGCAAAATAAAGACAGATTAATTTAAACATTATGTGTTTGCTAGTGCTCTTTTACTTTGATTTGAAACCCGGAGTATTTAAGGATAAAACAAAATCACCAAGTTTCACTCTATACCAGTATTTGCTCAGGAAAAAACCTAGCATCCAGCATCAAAGCAAGAAAGCAAACAGCACTGCTCACTAATAAAGGAGATAACTTCCTCATTAAATATCTGTCCCACTATGCAGGCTACCACCAGTTGTACCTCAACATATATACAGAGTGAGGAAAAATCCTTATTTTGTAGAACACATTCCACCCACCCTAAGAGAATGGCTACATGAAGGTTGATACAGGGTTTCAAAAGCAACACAGGATGTTTGGAGAGAATTATGAACCTATCATAAAAATTACATAGTCATACCAGTTGTTTCAGAGACCAGTCAAAAAACTCCAGAAAATTTGCCCTAGATTCACTAAACTCCTGCTCACAATTCCACAATAGAACACTTTCTAAAGGACAACAAATACCACAACCGACTGGAATTTTATTAACAATATAGTAAATATTCCAATAAGTTAACACTTCCAATGTAACAAAACCAGCACTAGCAAAAATAAATACTTAGATTTTGAGTTTATTGTAAGCAAAACATTTGTTTTTTATGACTCTGTGGACATAAAAAATGGCAGAGATAATTCATACATAGGAAAATAATAGCAATTGAAGGCTTTTCTATCCCACTGAACCCTAGATATCAAAACGTTGCTAAATAAAAGAAGAAACTGACCACGGCACTCATTTAATCTGAATTAAATATCCAAAGTCATATTTTACGAGAAAACTAGTTTCTACACCAAACACAAAATAAAGGTCTAAGACGAAAGGTCATCTGATGTCAAGATGCAGACAGTTACATATCTACATGAACTTTATTTATCATAAGCTTTTTTCTTTTCAGTTTCACACACTATTTTTTTCCCCCCACCAGTCCAGGTGTACAGCTGGGGTTTAAGTGGCAGTCTCACAGAAAAATAGCAGAATGGTGCCTAAAAGCCAACAATATATGGGCAAGAGCAAGCCCCATCAGCTAAAAGTCAGGCTAAACCTTACTGAATGTGTAGGTAAGACAACAGAAGTATCACCTCAGCCTGGACTGTCCCCTTAAAAACTTTCACTGTCTAAAATCTCACTATATTAACCACAAAAGCCCTTCACACTTTCTGAGTGACTCAAAGCATTAAACTACTATAATCCTTCTGGAAGGTTAAATCTGCTAGGTTTTGTTTCTTGTTGAATCTCTTAATATAACAGTCATCCCAGTTTAATCAGCACAACATATCAGATATTCATGTCTGACAGGTTTTTGTTTCTGTATACATGGCCTAGAATGAGCTGGACAGTAAGTCACAGGCATGTCCAGCTAATCAGTATTTTTTTTATATATATATATATACACACACATATATATATATATATATATATACTTACTCATGTCCACCTTTGAATCAGCAAGATCTGACCGTATTTAAGAAAAATTCCATTTGTGATATTAATTAAATGCTAGCACATAAACAACCCATATCACATTAAGTGTTCTCAAGGACAGTTCTCAGAATTTGCTTCACTTCAAACTAGTTCCAAAACACTACAGAGCAAGTACTTACTGAGATCCTCTGCGAGCTGGACCCTCTTGCCAGTTAGGAGCTTCACCTTTTTTTCATTGTCCTCAGCAAAGTCCTCAAGCACTTCCTTTACATTCTTCTCCAAGCGCCTTACTGTAAAAAAACCCAAAACAACAACAAAAAAGTGAGTGGTAACACTTTTGCACCTGTAATGATAGAAGGACAAAATTTTGTTAAGGTCTGTGGGAGACATAGTACATGTTACCAAACTAACTAATCTGGCTGAAGAAAAGGCAAACTTCTGAACACATAAGCCCCTTGTTTGGGCCATTAAGACATGAAATTCTTTGAGAAAAATGTTTTAACTTCAAAGGATGTTTTCTCTCTGAATTAAATCATTATTGGATGACTTTTTTAGAAAGAGATAAAAATATTTGTAGACTGCTTTGCTGTCTATTAAATTCAGCAGTTTCTTCTTTGAGACTGAGTATCCAACAAATCTTTTATTTTAAGCATCCTTGCTGCCTCCTTCTTAACAGTTACACTTCCATTATCAACACCCCCCTCATCAGATGAATGAAGGCCAAGCCAATTTAAGGTGAAGGATGGAAAAAGAAGTTAATGATGACAGCAGAGTGTGGTATTGAAGGACTGACGACATGCAGAGGGGTGTTGCTGTACATACAAGGCTAAGAGGAATCAAAAGCTCTTTAAAGTAGTATTACGTCCATCTTAACACTCATATCCTTGCCCTTCATACTTAGAGGGAGTAATGAAACTTCCTAATTTTGGGCCATGAGGTAGCTGGTTTGAAGAGACAGACCTGGCTTTCTACATTCAGGGGCAATTTCTTCTCCCTGGAGGGTAACTTGTATCACATCACAAGGTTCAAACCTTTTACTTGCACCTTCTTCAAGAAGCAGGTTGAAAACTATTCTACAGATCAAAGGTTGCTGTAGTAGTGGTACCATGGCACTAGCTGATTGCTACATAAATGCTGCTTTATAAGGAAGCTGCTGTTGTATAAACTTGTCTAGATGTTACATGGCACATTTTGCATAGCTTTTAAAAAAACTATTAGAATTGATTCTTTTTTTATATTAAACATTTTAAAATTAAAATCTACAGCTAGATCTGAAAAAAAATAATATAGTCACTACTTACTGAAATTCTTTCTGATTGGAAATGGATATTGACAATTGGCATCACTTAAGCTGAAAATACTTTAAGCTAGAGAGTGTCTTAATTATTTGACTTTCTGTGTACACTAAATCCCTTAATGTAACTAGAATGTCAAATTCTATTTACTCTACATCTTTTAACTACCTAACCAGGACACAAAAATCAGCCAGCCATGCTAAGCACAGAAGGAACACATAGCCAGAGGAACACTAGAAAATTTCTAAACAAATTTTATTTCAAACACCTCAACCCACTATGAGCCTTACCTTCAGTGTTAGTAAGCTGCTGCCTCAGCGTATTTGCTGTGATTGCCAGCATTCGCTGTATTCGCCAGAAGAGGACAATATCATTACATTCAAGCTGAAATGAGGGAAGTTGTAGTGTCAGACCTCTGATGTCCAGTGAACATCCTACACTTACAAGGATCTCTTGACACTTTTAGCAGCAACTGTACACTCATGTATACACATCCTGATCTTGCACAAAAATCCCACAGAATAACTGCTGTAAGTAACAAGGAAAACCACCAAAAGTACTTCTCAAGAACTGTGTCAGCCCTGCTTAATACACTGCATCACCTTTACATCTACTATTTTCAACAGAAATGGCCATATCGAGGGATATCACAGGAAAACAATTTGCACACTATGTGCAGGCTGGTGAGTATAACCTAATGCTCACTGAAACACCACACTTGTTCATAGAAACACTGAAGGACAACAGCTGAACTCCACATTGTGACTCCCTGGTCTGACAAATGCTTCCGAAGACAGTATTGGGCCAAGGGCTATATTTGTTAACAACAGAAGAGACAGCTGCTACACCTGCAAAGGGCGGCAGGAGAGAGCACTAACTTCACATTAGGACTCCTTAAAAAGACAGTAACAGGAAAAGGAAGCGTCATGGAGAGGCAGCTCTCCACTCTACGATCTCTCTTCTCTCCTACAGGCAAAGGTACTTCTACAGCAGTAAAGATTTCTGTCTCCATGGGCCTCACTGTTTCTCATTAAAAACAAAACTCCACTGAAAGTGAGGAGCTCTACCTTTCCAGTAATTTCTTTTCGATTTAAAATATAATGGTAAGAAAACTGTATATTCTTTCCTTCGTGCGACTTCATGCATACTGTCATTTGTTGCACAAGCTTGAGCTTACAGAACTGGAAAGTGACTTAAAAGATCTATTTCTAAGCACCATAGTTTGTTGGGTTTTTTTTTCCCCCCCCTGTTGATCACATGGCATTCCAAGCATTAACTCTAAAGACTTATTTCTCATACTTATCCCATAAAAACCCCTGACTTAATGTTTTCTGAATTTTTCATATCACTGAGGTAAATAAGAATCAATGGGAAAATAAGAGAAATGGAGAAATATACCAAGATGATGTCAATAGCTGTACAATACTGCTTTTATCAGTGTATTTTTGTACACATTGATAAGCAACAGATGTTTAAGTCACGACTGAAACCTAGTGGTCATTTTATATAATTACCACCAGGATGGCATTTTATCAATTACAAGCCTCATGTAAAACATACCTAAGATCACCAGCTATCTCAAGGCAAAGGATATAAAAGAAAAGTTAGGCTAGTTTCAAGTATTTCTAAAGTTTTTTTCAACTGAGATGGAAATATTAAGGCAAAATACCAGTGCATATCTGTTCTTTGATTTACCTCTGAGTCCACAAAATGCCTCTGATAATAATAGAAGCCTCTTCGACATAGATTGCAGTGGTTCAAAGCAGTCTTCAGGAAATATCGTCTATAAATTTGGTGCCATGTGTCTTTAATCTAGGAAAACAGTGCTTAAATTTGATTAAATAAATACATACACTCACCATTGTGCATAGTTTAATGATTGCATTTAATTTGAAAATACAACTCCAAATTCCACTACCACTATCATGTAATATATGTTTAAATATAATTCTCAGCAATTTGTCTGCAACTGGGATATGATTAATGTGTTAGAGTTGGCAATGTTACAGATGATTGTCAAGTTAAAAATCTACTCTTCCATGCTTCTAACATAACTGCTTAAAAATATTGTCTGCAGCCAAAATACATTTAAATTTTATATTACAAAACAGGACAATTTGTTCTGCTCTTGATGTGATGCAATCTTCAAGTTAACACTGAGAATACAGTTTTGAATGGTACTCATTAATTTATCAATTAAACCAGATTAAAGCATAGGGAAATGTTTAATGCATCTTATGTAAACAAATATTTGTAATTTTTCTTGATTAGGCTTGTTTATGTTCCAGTTGTTCAAAATTAAATACGTATATCAATTTGGCTCTTAAAAAATCCCATAAAATAAAATAAGGTAAATCAGTTGCTTAGCTAGAAAGGAAACTCAATTTGCACTCATGTAGAGGATGTGGATTACTACTCTGACCTTTACAAAAAGCTAAGTGTTGTACAGGAAAGCAGCAGGCAGGTATTTAAATAACTCTTCTAACTTTAATATGTACAGGCATTAATGTTGAAAAGGTAGCCAGCTACTGCAGAAAATAAATCACTGTTAAAGGAAACATACATCTATTACTTATTAATGTTTGAATTCTCAATTATTTAAAATCTTTAATTTCATTAGATAAAAGTTCTAATTATGGTTAAGAGCCTTACACTGAAATGAGATAAATCATTTTCCACAACATTTTAAATGTATAATACATTCTCTTAGGGCACTCTAAAAACCCCTGCCTTTTTCCAAGTATTTTTACAAACTTTCCCTCTCTCCTGTGTACCTGTGAACTTCAAGCTGCACGTACAACCACACCAAAACCTTAGGAATGCATACGTTTTTATTGTATCTAGCTCAAAGGCCTTGACTCCATTATATAGCATCTGAACAATGATTTTAAACAAGCCTTGTCGTAACACAGGCTAGAAAATCTGCTCAGAAGATTCTAATTTCAGTCTAAACCGACAGATTCCGAAGCCTTGTACTGCATTTGTCTGACAGTCAACAGAACTGTGTGAATTGCATGCCAGCTGTTATTTAGTACCTCATTCTGAAACATCTGGATTACAAATTCAGTATTGAGATGGAGTCTTTTGTACGCTGTCTACGAAGAACATTCAAACGTACACAGGGGGTTTCCATATGTTTTGTTACAATTCTGCATCTTACCTGACATGGGTCCACTGTTATTCCTCTTGCTTCAAGATTCTTTCTGACAGTTGTCACTTCATCATTTGCCAGATAAGCTGCATGTTCTTCATTGCATTTGATTAATTTCTCAAGTTCATTTTTTGTTTCATTACGAATATTCTAGAACAAGAATGATTAGAGTTAATTATTATAGACTCAGAGATGATCAGCACATCATCAATAGTCTACTTGCTTAATAAACTACAACAGAAAAATACCTTTAACACTATTAACTGTTATATTTAAGTGACTCAAAAGGGCATTTGTGCAAAGACACCTCAAGTATAGTATTTTTTAATGGATAATTCACTGCCAATTTTTTTTTTTTTTTTCATTATGCACAGAAATGCAGAAAAGGAAAAGAAAGGTGGGGAAAAAGAAGTCATAGGTGTTAGCCTCCTTTCCCCTCCAGGAACATCTGCCAGAGGGGTTCACATCCACATATCACCTGTTACACTGATGAAAATTGTAATTTTTGCCTAATAGCTAGCAAGAACTCTCCATGGATTCATACCTTTAACTTGCTGTCCATTAAATTCAAGTAAGATAGGTTGAAGTCACTGCCTTTCTCCCATACCTGGCTGCATAGAGCTGACTGTAAAAATCCTTCCTCTGAAACAATTACTTTCTACTGTATTCTTTTAAACTCTACTTACTTCTTTAAAGTATGATTCAGTTTGAGAAACATCTAGAAAAAGTAACATTAAAAGCACATCATCTCTGGGCATTGAATAGAAAGTGCTATTCAAATTCAAAAGAAACTTCCAAAAACGATGAGCAAACGAGAAGGGAGGTTATGATGAGATGGTCAATCAGAAGATACAACTATGACTAGAATGGTCATGGTAACTCTACCACATACTAATTAAATCTAAATGGAGCATATTAGGAAACTGCACATGACTTCTGCTTAAAAGGCATGCTTGGAAAGCATAGAAGAGAATAGCCCAGTTTCCACCCAGTTTTCATCAATTTCTTTCTACTGGAAGAACTTTAATATTCAGGTCAATGGCATAATAGCAAAGATGTAATTCAGCTGAAGAATGGAAAAGAGTTTACAAACCACTAAGTATCTGCAATATGAAAAAAGTATACAGAATTCTCTGTGGTGTAATATTTAAAGCAATGAACTGTAAAAGTAATTATAAAGTATTTAAAAGTAATCTTCTTTTTTGCAATCATCTAAATAGTGTGAAGAGGGCTGCTATTTTTTTAAAAATTTACCAAGTAATAATCAAAGTTTTCTGAAAGTAGTGAGCTACAAATTCTTAATTTTTTTCCCTTTTACCTGTTCTTTGGTGCGGCCTATCCAGTACAACCATCTTTTTTTCCAGTCTGGACCCACCATATCTTCAATAACAGATTCAGCTAAAAAAGGAAACATGGTATTAAGTACCAGTCAAAATATACGTAAACTAGCCAAATTCATAATTCTGAAGTGAGGTACAAGATCAAGAATGGACTATTTTATGCCTAATAACACAAGATATGCCATACTGAGCGTCCTGGTTTTGGCTGGGACAGAGTTAATTTTCTTCCTAGTAGCTGGTACAGTGCTGTGTTTGGGATTTAGTGTGAGAATAACGTTGATAACACGCTGATGTTTTAGCTGTTGCTAAGTAGTGTTTATACTAAGTGAAGGATGTTTCAGCTTCTCATGGTCTGCCAGCAAGAAGGCTGGAGGGGCACAAGAAGCTGGGAGGGGACACAGCCTGGACAGCTGACCCAAACTGGCCAAAGGAATATTGTGTATCATACGACATCATGCCCAGTATATAAACTGGGGGGAGTTGGCCTGAAGGGGCAGATTCTCGGGAACTGGTTGAGCATCGGTCAGTGGGTCGTGAGCAACTGCACGGTGCATCACTTGTCTTTCTTGGGTTTTATTTCACTCTCTTTTTGTTCCCTTCTTTTTCATTATTATTATTATAAAAATAAAATACAGTAATAATAGTTAATTCAATTATTAAACTGTTCTTATCTCAACCGAGAAGTTTTACTTGGTTTTGATTCTCCTCCCCATCCCACAGAGGGGCGGAGCGGGGGCACAGGTAGGTGTGATCGAGCAGCTGCCTGGTGCTTAGTTGCTGGCTGGGGTTAAACCATGACACTAAGACAGACGTCTTTTACTTAAAGCAACAGTTGATGTCTTTTACTAAAATTTAAAGATGACTGCCAACCAGTAATTACTTCAAGGATGTATTTAAAAAACATAACATCCCTCCACTGAGTCAGCCCTCCAGGCTCCAAGTCAGACTTTAAAAAAAAAAAAAAAAAAAAACTTACCTTGTTGAAACTTGCATCAAAATTAATTATGCTTGATAACAGTAACTGGACCAACTACTTTCCCTGAACTTATCCTATTCTTCTACATGTGTGTCTGCACCATTCTTTGACTCTACAGATCTCTACTACTCATCTTTCAGTTGCCACATTGCAAGAGCACTAGCTTCTGTGGCTGTATTTTGTCAAACATTTCTACCAGTATTGGTACCATTTTAAACTGTCGCCACTATCTCAGTTGTGCTGATACAAAAGCTTGTACTGCAGTGGAGTGAATTAGATCCAGAAATTGACCCAGCTTAAAAAGCACACAAGAGTGGAATACATCACACAACTCACTGTCTTTGAGACGACTTTGGAGGGTCTCTTCCATAAAATGAATAGCTGCATCCCACTGCTGTTTATCAGATATTGACCGATCTTCCAAGGCATTGTGCTGGATCACTCGCTGCAATACAGAACATCATTTTAGCGTACAGTAAAAGCATTTATTCAGGATTTAGTAAAAAAAAAAAATTGCTGACATTCTCTTAATTTTTTGATGTCTATAAAACCAGCACGTATTGGGCACACGGGATTTATTCAAGAGGCACCTCTTCAAAGCACTGCCAAAAATATTCTCTTGTGCCTTTAATTTAAATCTCTTCTATAGCCTAGCATAAATAATGGAAAAAATAAAGCAAACAATATGAAATCCCTCCAGATTACAGAATCTATAAAGATGGTAATGAAACGCTGTTATTTTATGTGGCTATACTTAACAGAACAAATGAGCTGGCTGTCCTTGGGCAGCCAGTGGATTATGGAGCACTTTTTTCTGAACCAACCCAAACAATTTTATTACATGTTATATAGAACAATAACTAACAAAAGGTAATAAAACGAATTGAGGAACTCTGAATTAAAACATTATACAGAAAAGGAGAAATGGACACATGTCTCTATCATTTCATTATTGCATTAAAAGAATGCAAAAATAACGAATATGCAACTTTAGCAAAAAGATTTAAACAGCACTTAGTCAACAATACAAAAAAACCCACTACATTATACCAGGCTATCCTCCGCTCTCTCATTCCATTTATGTCGTTTAATACTTTCTTCTTTGACAGCTTGTTTCAGTTTATCAAAGATATCATCATGCTCTTTTCCTTTTTGTTCTGTCATGAAACGGGAAAATTCTTCTTGCAAAGTCTCCCATGCCACCTAGAAAGTCACAAACAATGCCTGCTGAAATGGACCATTATACCACGCAGAAGCTGGTAAATGAATGTTTATGGCAATTATTGCAAGTATGAAAATGTGTATACTTTCTGAAAATAACATACAAGCATCAGAGTAAGTCATTGCCTTATCCTTTCCTGCCTCATCCATTATTACTAAAGTTGATACTAAATTTTGCTTCGCTATGCTGTAACAAGTGGAACTCTGTTAAACTTGCAGAAGTGTATTAAATATGAATATACCTACCTTGAAGGGTTTGTTTAACCTTTTAAAAGGAAGGATTTTTTTGGTCTTTAATAGGGAAAATTCACCAGAAAAGAAAAATACAGTGTTTCTGCTGTATATGCTTCTCAACATCAAGACTCTGTTAGCCTTTTCTGACATGTAAACTGGTTAGAAGAACTGCAATCAGCCCTTCAAACCATCATCTTGCTTCTCTGGAGCTATGCTTTCATCTCAACAGGCTTTGCACAGATTTATTTTTTTAAAAATAACTAAATTCTCACCTCTACTGCTTTATTAGGCAGTTGCTTGTCAGTCCACTGCTTTAGTTTGATGTCCACAGTGGTGTTAAAGGTCCCCGAGTTCATGGTCTGTGCTGCTGGGAGGTATATATTCTCAATCACATGAGTAGACACCCTTTCCCATAAAGTTTTCTGCAGAATCTCCTCCCTAAAATGGAAGTTTTAACACATATGATGGCTTCTAATGCAAAAGTGTCTAACAGATAGAAACACTGAGAAAACAAAACTACAGAACACAGGAAATACTCCTTAACATGAGCACACAATGCCAACCAAAACCTACTTGGAACTAAGGACACAAATACACAATGCTCTCAGCAGCAAAGACAGCTTCAGAAGTTGGCCTCTACGATTCTTATGGCTGCCACCGCACTGCACAACAGTTCCCTGCAGCCTTTAATCATACCAGTACAACCATGCAGAGCTGGGCGTGCATATGCATAGCAGGTGGGGGAACGACAAGGGGGCAGACTGTAAAGCATTGAAATGCTTTGACAAAAAGTCCACGCTCCCAAAAAAAGCATGTTGGCTTTGTTTCTGTAATATTCCGATTTGTTTGTTGGAACATGCTGTAGTTTTCCATCTGGGATTTTCATTGATTGTTCCCAGATTTGATAAACAATGAAGTTGACAAGTCCAAACTTTTACCAAAATGTATATTGACATCCATTTACAAACGTGCCTCACGTCACTATAAAACGAAGCTCCACTTTCCTACTTATGATGCATTTCAAGAAGCAACAATGGAAACAATCTAACTTGAACCTTTTTTTTTTTTTTTCTTAAACAACAATAAATTGACCCAGGAAACTTTGCAGCTGCAGTGAGACAACTCAGCTGAGCCAGTGTAGCAGGCAGTTGGTACCCACAGAGGCAGTCATGTTCCTTCTGCTCCTGCCACTGTCTCTAGTGCAGGCTGTGGGTTTCTTGCAGGTTAATTTTATGCTAGCTCAGCATGCTAAATCAGCTTACCAACAGGTCATACGAATGCCAGATTTGGTAGAATGGTTAGAGCTAAGAGCCAAAGAATAAAAACTGCCTTTTTTGGTGGTACAAGGCTACCGGATTCACACGAGTCCTTTTCTTCCAAATGGGCCGAAGTTCAGGACACAAGCCTCATCCCTGATACTGCCCCTACTCTAACTGGGCCATCTGTGGACAAAGACCAAAGAACTTCTCATAACTATCACTCCTCCTTCTATTTCAACAACGGCATAATTGAAAATTTCTCTTTTGTGTTTAAAGCATCCTTCTTTGAGATTTAAGTACTCTGAAGCTGTCCTTCTGACATACCAGTAGAAGTGGGGAACAAAGCCACCAGTTTTCCTACTGTTGGAAGAGATCTTTGGCGTATTTAGGGCGGTAAAAGTATTTATACAAAATTAAAAGGAACTTCAGAATTTAAATGTTGAAATAATTCACTATAGATAAAATTAATATTGCCACCAGTAAAAAATGTTTTCCTCAAAAACTGTTGTTCAAAATAGGATCATTTGGATAGTGTTCAAAGATCAATTATTGATCATTCTTGACTACCATTGGAAGAACTGGGGATGTGGCAAATTAATGCCACTTACAGGGTGTGCTGCAAACAGTCTGTTACAGATTTTACCACTTACAAATGCACTGCAGGAGAAAGGCAGTCCTCTGATTAACAACGAATGCAATCTCACTCCTTTCTGACATGCCAATAAAAATACACTGTTGCTTTGCTTAATCCAATCAAACTTAATTGGAAGGAATGGAAATTTTTACAAGATAGAAGCATTTGCATTCATCAAATGCACTGCTGTTTTTAGGCTGCATATAATGGCTAACAGAAGCATTTTTTCATGACTTAAGTCTCCAGTTGTACTTTATACGCACTAAGTGTTATAAAACTAGAATCACCACTACATTTTAACTCTCAAAAGAAATGCACAGAAACATTCATGTTATGCACCCACCCGATCCACAACATAAATGAAGCAGACTAGACATGGGCCAGAGTACTTCAGCATCTATGACACAGCAAACAGCAGCAAATACCAAAATGGCAAACCTGCATTATATTTGGAGTAGAACATAGCTTCAGACTAACACACTGCCCACAACACTTTCTTGGAACACATCCACATGCCCAAACTATTCTAATGTCATTAAGAGTCAAGACTTTTCACCTTGGATTTTAACTCAGGTTGCTGAAGGCAAAGACATTAAAGAAATCTTTCTTTTGGTGGTCCTCAGTTGTGGTATGGGCTGTCAAAGCAATCCTTTACATTGACTGTTCTCCTCTCAGCTTGCATCTACAGTGGCTTTACTATGCAGTGACGCTACACTGTTAAAATACTTAATCTAAACTTTCTCTCTCTCTCTCTCACACACACACACACTGACATCTGCTTTGCAAAGAAGTAGGGCAGCATAGCATGGTGCTGCTTGGTTAAAGCTACCAAGGAGATTCATGTGTAGGATGAAATTCTGAAACATCCAGAATGGCTCTTTTTACAGCCAGGAATTACATAATCTCTCAGCTTCCAATTCTCTGATTCACAGAGATACAAACCATTTTTTCCAAGGACATACATACTATTTTGACACGCACAATGATAATCCCCAAATATCAAGTTAAGAGGAATTACTGATTCATACTTTGAATGAACATCTGGAAACATCTTTATTATGACTGTTCCTTTTTATTTTTGAGAAATATCTATTGTTCATTTGCTGTATAAAAACAGAACAAAACACGAACTGACATAATATAATTTTGAGATATTATACAAGTATTTGCTGATTCAGAATAATAAACAAACATAGACTGCTTCCACAGGGACAAAGGACATAATAATACATTGTCCTAAGAAAAACAGTTCCTTATTTGTATTTGAGAATGTTTTTTACTAAAACTCTTTATATTGTAAAGGCAAAAAAGAAAAAATTACCATACCAGTGCTTTGGTGTGACTTGAGTCAAACTTATGACTTCATCAAGAATCTCATTCTTTGCTTTTTCAAACAGTTCATTCTATGCAAAAGGAAAAATATGAAATAATAAGATTTTAAGTATAGTTTGATCATGTTCCTACACAAAAAGTAAAAAACCAAAACCTTTTTCTTATGGCCTTTAAGCCTGAAATGATACCTTCTGGTCATGTTCTGGACAATGTATGTGCTTGTCATAAGCTACCCTGGTTTCCCACACATCTTCCCACCCATCTCTTGCATGCCTCTGGCCAGGCATGGCATTTGAATACTCACGATCTCTACAAAAGAATTAGAGAACAGGATCATAACTGTTTTGTTACTTCCTCTGAAAGACCAGAGAACATAACTCCTCTTTGACAGTTCTGTTATGATCACAAAGAAACACTGACTGTGGGCAAGTTCGGTCAGTTATCTGTATGCCAGATGAGCGAAGGACTTGTTAAGCATTGAAGTATCGCAATTTTGAAGCTCACTATTTCACTAACAGAGCTCAGTATTTCCTTCCCCTACAATAATTTACACTATCTTACGTTTTAAAATGTCAGTACTTCATGTTAACTTTAAGAAACCTTTACAAATGAGATTAAATGTCATAAGTTTTAATCCATAATCTTCAACACTTTGTAGCACACAAATTAAAGCAGTAGTGTAATTTACCCTGTCAAGCTCACGCAACCGAGGGTAATTGTTCTTCCATTCAGTCTCAAGATTGAAACGTGTGGCTGCAAATATCAGAAACAAGACCTTAATTTTTTTAGTTGTCTATATGCACTCCATTACTATCTTAAAAGTTTAGCAGCTCCTAAAATTGCCACAAATCTTCCTTACAACAAACCCTCCATGAACTTTATGTGCCTCTGCAAATGAGGTACATTTTTTGCCGTCTATGCTCAGATACACTGTCTGCAAATTGCACGACTCGTGCATTGAAAAAAAAAATGTAGCGAAAAGAGAGCCATTCAACTTCCAGCTCTGTACATGTCAGTCCTGCCCTGGCTAATCAGATGGTATCTTTATGTAGGGAGCCATTTTAAACAACATCTGAATCCAGTGGAATAACTGTGTTTTGCCCACAAAAAAAAAAAAAAAAAAAAAGAATTTTTTCTTCATACTTATTTACTCATTTGGTTTTTAGAGCTAGTGGGTCCTTCACACCATGGGTTTTTTTTTAATGTGTTTTTGTAAAGACTAACCGGGGCGATTACCAATTCATGAGAAATAGTGATCATATAAAAAATATAACACGCAATTGCCCAAGTATGCTGGCAAAACAGTATTCTACGTACATAGAAGAATTAACTGTTTAACAGCAAGTTACTATTTCACTGGAATTTCGAAAAGATGTTTACCTTTAAAAGCATCTGCTTGCTGCTCCACAGACTCTCTTACCATTTTCCAAAAGCAATCTGACACAGCAAGACTTAAGTTCTTTGTTGTTACCTGGTGTGCCTTCAGCATACATGTCCTGTAAAGAAAGACGGCTAAGGGAAATTCTTCTATGCATACCCGCGCTTTCTGGTCCCCATTTTCTCCTCACAAGAATAAAGCTTTGCTTTTTATACCAGAGCATAACACGTCAATGTGCACCTAACCCAAATTCTAGCCTCTTCCTCCAAAATATTCAATGCAGATTATTCACCAAAGCAAGGGGGAAAAAAACCAACCAAACAAAAATCAACCACCCCCCCCACCACTCCCCCCAATAAATTTTTATTCTAGAGGCTGCAGTGCAGCTACTGCAGTCCCAAAGACCACGCAGCTTACTTTCCTGAGAAATACATGCCTGTGAAATCAAAACTCGGCTCAGTGAACTTCCAGCAGAACACACACGCTAACCTTTTGAATAAAACATTGTTGTCGCAATATTTAGAGGGACTATGACTCATATTCGGGCTGGATTCACTCCTCCCAGATATGCCTAGACATAGGCTGGGAACTTAGTTGGTCTAGAGCCAACGGAAAGACAGAAATCTCTGGAGAGGGGCTCAGAACTGCAGTGGAATCAATTGCTGCATGAAGATGCTTGTCTCTCTACTTTGACTTACAGCAAGCATTAGGAAACGAGGCTAACCTGGTCACCTCAACAAGATACTTCATTTAAGCAAATTACATCTCAAATAGTATTTCAACCCTGCAACCCTTCTTTTAAATTCAACAACGCTAGTGTTGCTAGCTAGCGTTTACTGACACGGACTCATTTTAGTAAAAGAAATAAATAGTGACATACTTTAACAGCTTTGAATTTTGAAAAAATTCCTCTTCATATTCTTTAATAGATTCAATGCTTTCACTGCTGTTTCCTGGAGAAAGAAAACAGTGCTGCAACAGTTCCATTTAGACAGTTTTCTCTGCTATCAAGGAGAAAATAAGCAGAGCCAGAGCTCTCTTTACCTTTTCCAGTAACAACTGCAAAATAACCCAAAGCTTTCATGGGGAAGAGTTTGCCTTCAATTATTTGCTGGATCTATGAAAATAAAGGATTAAAAAATACGTGGTTAACTTTGCACTGACTTTCTCTCCTTCAGCACAGTTTTAAAGCCAAATCTAGTTGTATCTATGTATAGACTACTATAAGAACCAGTTTGTCATAGGATTGAGTTCTACTGATATTTAAAAAAAAAAAAAAAAAGGCATAAAACAAAGGAGGCATAACACAGCAAAACACAAAATAAAGTGAAAAAGCCTATCCAGAATATCCTAAAGCCTTCTCAGGAAATGGAACTTGACCAGGTCACATGCATGAAAGGAACCAGTATTACAGCAATCTGTAGCCAAGCTGTGACTGAGGTCATGTGGCTGATCACTAAAAGCAAAGCCTGAGAAAGATTAAAACAATAACCCCCCCCCCCCCCCCCCAAGATTTCACACTGAATACAGAAATAAGCACTCAAAACCATCCAGAACAGGTAGATGAGGTCAAATATTTCTGACAGTATCTCAAGTATTTTTCCATGTGTGACTTTAGCCATCACAACATGAGAAAAATAATTTCAACTCACCCTGCTCGGGCTCGCTACGTTTTTCTCAGCGAGATCAACTTTAGTCAACACAAAAATTGTCCTTTTTCCTTGGGGATCCATTTGGCTGACTAAGTCTGTGACAATACTGCGCTCTGCATCCACTGATCCATCTAAAATAAACAGAAACAAAGCTGTATTTTAGGGACTATGTAATCTATCATGCAGTACTGAAGGCACAGTAGGCATCAAATAAGTTTCATGTTACAAATTAAAACCACTAAAATTACACTTATATTCAATTTTTGGGTACACACAGTGAAAATTTACTTTGTTCCCGCTATTATAAAAATAATTAGTTTCTTGTAGTTGTGTAAGTTTTGAACAACTACCAGCTTGCTCAAAATACTAAACTATTATTGTCTGTTGCCTCCAAAAACACCTCTGAAGAAATCTTGAATTTTATTATCACCACCATTTTTTTATTAACGATAAAAAAATCTTATCAAAAAGATGCTTTTTGCCGTGGATACCAAAGGTACCTTAATTTATAAACTGACATTCTGCAGCACGTTGTTTTGTACACCATACAGATTACCACAAATGGACCGCCCCCCCCCGAAAATCAGGAGGGTCCTCAGAGTAACAGAAGAATCACAAGTAAAAAATAACAAGACCCTGCCAGTTGCATAACATGTAGACTCTTATTACCTTGAATACAAAGGATGATGGCATTAGGATTCTGCATGTAGGCCTTGCTGATGCTAAAGATAGTTTCCTTCGTATCTGGAGCCATACCTGATGTCACGGTCTTTAATATGTATATAGAGATACACATTTAAAGGAAAAAAGAAAACAGAAAGATGTAAAAAAGAAAAACAACAGCTTTTTCACCAAGACCACTACATCACTACATGTCTTAAAGATTTTTTATTTATTTATTGCATACTTACACTAATGACTCCAGGTAAATCAACCAACACCATTCTCTGCAAGCCAGGACCTTTCACACTTAAGGAGATGGTCTGTGAAGTAAAATAGAAATTAAAGGTTTATACATACGCCTACTTTGTATGTAATTACATACACAAACACACATATATAAAATTACATAAATGAATATTTACACATGCACAAGCTTTAAACCAGCACCAGCCTGTAATTTCAAATAGGAAGTCCAATTTTATATGCATTTTAACAGTCCAAATACACTCTATATAATGCAAAACTTTACATATACACAAAACGGATTCATCGCAGTCTCCTATTTGAAGAACACTTACAAAAGATATACATATAGAGATAATTGCCACAATATATTTGTTCAAGTCTTACCTCAGTGCTAACAGTGCACCCTTCCTTCACACTATTTCTCATTCTGATTTCTATTTCATTTCTCAAAGCTGCAAGCTGTTTTCAGGAAAAGCAAAATATAAAATATAAAACTCCTTATGATCATGATAGAAGAAAAATCACCAACGCAATCCCTAAGTAAACTTTTTTTACTTAAGAGCTCTCTTTATAAACAGTATCTCCCTCAAATGCATGTTGAATAACTAAGTCTGGTAAATGGGGCACTAAATGACAGATTACCAGCAGACCCCTGCATACTCCAAAAAAGTCTCAACACAGGAGCTCCCCCTACATTTTATTCACTTCAGTGCCAGCCAAAAACCACACTAAGATATAATTTAATAACTAATACAATGCTTTGCCCCACTAAACATATTTCATTCCAATTAAACAGGGGCTAACAGCTCAAAGACACAGAATTTTTCAGATAATTAAAAAAAGTCACATTAACTTCCAGTCACTTCTTTATACTTACATCCTCTTCCTTGGTCAGATCAAACTCCCGAGAGCTGTCTTTGAACAAAGCCACATGATGGGGACCTTCACTAAGGGTTACCTAAATGGTAAATGCATTATATGAGAAAGCACAGTAAATCTAACACAGAGAAACATGAGAAGGACCTAGCATACGTACACTTCCCACTGCAGACATACAACTATATGTAATGCTTATCTAGCACAGGACTATAGTAGGAACTACTACTACTCTGATAGTGTATATGGATCATATATAGGCCTGCAGAAGTTCTGTCATTGACTGCAACAACTCACCTGCCTAGAGGCCATTTAATAAAATTACAAAATGTTCATGTACACCTTAATTAATGGCATAATCAGAGGGAGAACAGTACAACAACTGCTGATTCAGAGATTATGATGTTTCTTACCTTAACAGGGGAACGTGTCATCATCTCTCCAGACCCTCGAGGGAATATGCGGGCTTGGGCGATCATTTCCAACACACTGGTTTTTCCCGCACTTTGATCTCCAACCACCACCACCTTAAGTGAAAGTTTAAACAGCCATTGGCTTTCAGCCGGACATTTTGGAAGCTTAGACAAAAGCTGACTAAAAAGATGTTAATCTGTATCAACACTGGCTGTATTATGTTTGACAATAAACACAATGGTTTAAATATGGAATCCTTGAAGAAATACTAACTTTTAGTCATGCAAAAAGATTGACTTGTGCTTAAGACACAGTCCACAAAGCACCCTACGGGCCTAACCTGCCAGGCCACCTAACAAAGAGAGGAAGGGCTTGCTGTTCTCCTGGCAGGCAGTTGTTCTTTCCTTGCAAAAAACCCTTTCAGCAGGTGAAACACTGAAGAGTACTGATCTGGTAGATGCTGATTCTGCCTGGAGAAGGCTGAAATCTGATGTAGTTGCTGTCATTTCCCCATCTTAGTGGCTTCCTATAGAAGCCACCAGCGTTAGCAGGAAGCATTCCTGGCTGTCCACCACAGCAGCAGTCAGGCTAGCCAAACCCCTTCTCATGCTCCCCCCTCCAACAGCAGCACTGCTGTGGGGAGTTAGCCAGGACACCTTACCTTCTCAGCTCCACTGGTACACACTGGGAAACCACAGTCTTTGTACAGTGCTGAGAACTCTGGACTGCACTGACTGAAACCATTTAAAATGAAAGGCTGAGCACAGCAGCAATATCTGTATCTAGACAGGGTTTTATCTATGAGCCAAGACAGACTTTTTAACGTAGTTATATTGGTTATTCTCAAAATTCTCTTGTTGCATTTAAAATGTTGAACATGTCTTAAGCAAAAACACCAGAGTTATAAGAAAACAGCCTAGCACTAGCTCTGGATTATTCTGGAATATAATTAAATGTTCTATTCAATTATAAAACTGGTGTTTCAGTAAAAACATTGAATTTTTTATCTACTTACTCGAGGGAGATGATCTTGTGTGTTATAACTGGCATCATAATCAGACAGGATGTCGAGTACTTCAGAATACATATCAATCAGGGATTTCTGAAAAAAAAAAAAGAAAAAAGACAGAGAGGAAACACAGCCAATTAACAGAACAAAGACCGGATTTCAGTTTACTTCATCTGTATATTCTGTAAATCTCATCTGTAAAAAAGTGTTTATTCTTTCCTGATGGTTTGAAACTTAAACTGTCTGTACTGCAGCACAGATCGGTTTTACGAAGTACAATACCAAGTAAAGTCATCCCTTGCCTTCTGTGGATGAAAATACTGCAGTTGCAGATACATCTTGCTGAAGGAGCAAAATGAGAGCTCTTATGAACAGCATAAGAGAACAACAGCACTCAGACTTCACAGTTTCAAAGTTAAGAAGCTGAATGGAGTTTCTTCCATTAAATATCTAGACTTAAATTTTCAGCTTGATGAACAGTAAGCATTAAACAAGGGTATAGAGCTATCAACCTCATTCTGTACAAATAAGAACTCCTTATCTTCCAGTTCCCAGAGGAAAGAGGAAGATCCATATTGGTCAGCAAGTGACGCAGAGAGAGGCAGAAAACATCCATTTTTAGAATGCTCAGGTTGCTGGCAGACAAAAGCAAAAGCATACTTAATTCAATCTCCCTGGATTTATACAGGGCCATTAAAAGATCCTGGCCCTGTAACTAAATTTCTACCAAACTCAGTAAGACCCATGACAAAGCACAAAGGTATCAGATTGTGCATGTAAGAAGAGTTGGAAGCGTACTTATTAGTAAATACACTGAAGCTACATCAAAAAACCCAATCCACATATCCCACTTACTTAGGTAAGTTATTTAGTTAGACCTGGTAACCCCTCTGTGCTCTCCAACTGAAGCCATTTCCAAAAGCTATATAGTTAAAAAAAAAAAGAGGATGTATAAAAGCCTTAACACGACAAAAAAACTAGCATAGGTATCTTATAACTAATGTTGAAAGTTCATATATGTATTAACAAACACAACTGAGAATAGCATCATGGGAAACATGGCCTAGTTGTATTTCTATGCTGATTTGTAACATACAAGTACCTTCAACTTCCTCTGATGAATTCCCTTGTCATCTCTTTGCAGTACCAGTTTTCTTAGTTCTTTGTTCTCCTTCTCTAATCGCTCAAGCATTCTTTGGTATTTGAGCTACAAAACAGTGGTACAAATATACTCTTGTAATTACAGATATAGCACACTCACATCAGCAAAGTTTTACCTATAGAAAATATATTATCCTTCAGGGAAGTCTTTCAAAAATATAGAAACCTTTGTGATCACTACTGTTCATTAAAAATACAAGGCCATCAAGAGGAGACTGTGAGAACATTTTTTCAGCAACATACCACCTTTGCTTCAAAAGATTTAATAAGACCACAGTGTTCAAACTTGGGGATACAGAAATCAATCTTTAAGCATCTTAAACAGGCATCATTTTCAAAGGAGCTACACATACGTGGTCAGACAGAAATTAGTGTCAGTGGGAACCGGCTGTTCAAGCAAAAAGATCACAGGGCTTAAATGTGAATTTGCAAGTCTAGAGCCCTTCTTCAGTATATAACCTCAGTTCAAGAAATAACTATACCAACTTAGTCCTGTTTAGGAGATTATGATAGTCCTCTGAAGATGAGATACGAATATAGTTTTGATACCTACTCTGAAACTGTTCTGAGTGTACTTCTAAGAACAAATAAAATTTAAAGCTGTTATAAAAAAAGGTAACTAATAAATGCTTTCAAAACTAGCAAATATATGAAGAGGTTACAAAACCCCCTATCAAAACAATGTGGCTGAGCCAGAGCCAAACAACTTAGAAGCCTAGAGACAGAACAAAAGATGAATTGTACATTAAGTTAAGAAAAAGCAAGCAAACTGAAGTAATGACTAATAGGCATCAACCCTGAAAAAGGTCTAGCTTAAATATAACTAGTTTTACCTTGCTAATTAGGGAGATTAGAACTGTTGGCATGAGATTTGGTGAAGTTCAAGTCAGTTAATTAGAGGAAGGAGTCCCACCATATACCACATTTGCACTGAGAAGCCCTATTAAGGTATAATATATGAAACCCTTCTAAGTTTACTGTAAGGCAACACACTTAGGAGGAAAAAGTGCTGTTGTCTGAACAAGAACTGTAAATCATATAGCTGAAGAATCATGGTTCCTGCTCTGTAAGGACTGCCTATGGCATCAAGTATTTCTTTGTAAATCAGATCTGCAGCTGCACACTGTATTGTTCAGTATTATAAAAGCTACCTCCCAGAAGGGCTGGTAATTCTCCTTGGTTGAGCTGATGCAGGGAATTCTTAAACTAGCTACTGAATGCAAGACCAAATTTCAGTGAACATAAAAACATATTTATTTTTGTGACTTCGTTCTTAAATAATGTATACTCATATATACTTGCATCCTTGATAGAAGATAGTAGATTTATTACTGTTTTAACCTTGTCAGGTTATAAGTTTCACGTAAGGGGAACAAAGTAACATGTGTATACAGAAATTCATATTAAATGATGGGCTTTCCAAATGTCTATTATCGAACTCTTAGGTCCTCCGAAGTTAGGCCATGCACTTTTTGAAAGGCCAGTCTGAAAAGCAGTGATCCTAAAGCTGCTCTCTGCAGGTCATCTTTTCTGCCAGCTAATGAAGCTTTAACAGAAGTAACAAGAGGAAATACTGAAAACTGGATTTCACTTGCAAAAGCACACCTTCTCTCAGACTATATTAAATTACAACAACTGAACTAGATGGAAGACATTCAGAAATCGAAAGTGGCTTGAGTTTTGTGAAGTAATTTTTTTTAGGAATGTATATTAAGAAAATCATACCAATAGCTGTCATTGTTCAAATTTTCACTTTTTTCTTTTTTTCTTTTTAAAAAAAAAAAAATCCAAAAGAGAGGGCAAAGAAAAAGCTTTTAATGTGCCCACAACAGTTTTCATACTGAACAGTCCAATCATTCAAATAGCTTTAATGGAAAGAACTGCTTACTGCTTCACAAAACAGATTTTGCTTAACACTTGCAGGGCTTATATATAACTCTAGCATTGTAACTACAATTATTTTTCTTGATGGAAGAAAACAAAAAAAGATACTTTGGTTCTACTGAAAGCCACTGTACTATAATCTGAATCTCTCACCCCAAATATCCCCCATATGATGTCTATTTTTCCTCTTGGACCTCTGATGTTTGGAAAGCAAATGCACTTAGAAGCTTCTTTACTTTACTAGAAATGACATTTCTTAGATTAAAGTATTAAAATGTAACTCTAATATGTAAACTCATTTCCTTTCTGCAACAAATGTGCCTTTAAATATACAAGGTATCACAGATATATTTAGTAGCACTGAAGTTGTAAGAGAGAACTGCAGAACCATAGAACACCAGGTAGGAAGGGACCTCAAGGATTACCTGGTCCAACCTTTCTTGGCAAAAGAATGTTAGGAGTAAAGTTAGCATGCACAGAGATTTTCAGGGTTGAACTCAATGATCTTAAAGATCTTCTCCAACCTAAACAATTCTATGATTCTATAAAAAACTGGAATATCACCACTGTATGTAACGCTCTTGGGTTTACTTTACATTTTATATATAGCATTGAAGGCAAGAAAGGTGTTTCAGAAAAGTATGATTACACATTTGCCCTATCCTTACACTCCCCTATTGCATTCTGTCAGTCACTGTCAGGGAAAGAATAGACTAGACTGACCTTTGGTTTGGGCCAACGCAGTCAACTCTGTACTGATAAACTCAGCACTGCATTTTTACCAAGTATCTTCTATTTCAGGTGCACTTTTATCTAGTAAATCTGAGTCTGCTGCACATAAATCTCTACTTAAGACACCAGTAGCTCATAAAAGTTACCTGAGTGCGTAAAAGTTCTTCTTGAAGTTGATCAACCTTCTCTTTGTCAGAAACCTACAAAGAAAAATAATCATGGCTACTAACACATTGTTTAGTTTATCCAAAGTAAGTAACCAAATCACAAGCTGAAAGCTTCATTCCACGTAAGAAAATTGACTTTACATGCATTTCATAGCAAGTAAAATTCTTCAATTAGCATTTCAGGTTTAACACCGATGGAAAGTTCCATCTGCAACAGGAGGTCCACATCAAAGAAAAGTCTGAGTTCCAGTACATGCAAATGCAAAAATTAACCCTTCAAGACTCAACACTAGGAAAGCGTTCTTAGGAAAAAAGCAAACTCTGTATGGTGCTCAGAGTTTTCTGGCCACCGCCCTAAATGTAATTTTAGTGGTCAAACTCTCATGATCTCGTATGTTCATTTTCTGAATTACCACATTCTTAATGAGGTACAATCACTAACACACCTGCTTGGTACAGAACCTACTTTCAGGTGAGCACTCACTACTTCTGAATCTTCAAAGGGACTCTTATTTCATATTTGTTTTTCAGAATTATAATCCTAAACATGCATGCACACTTCATAAATAGTAGTGTCAAGACAGTCTTGAAGGGTTATTTAAAAATTATTTAAATTACATGAAAAACTGCAAAAATTAGGATATTATAATACAAATAATTTTGGAGTTCAAGGCATAAATGTAGTAAGATCAGGCAATTAGAGCCATTCTTAGCCAAATATTCTTAAAAATAGCTTCATCAAGATGTAATAAACAGTTGTTCAAAACAATCCCTTTCTAATAACACAAAGACAAAAACATAAATAGGGCAATACAAATTAATATGATGTAAATATTTACAAAAACCAAAATCTAATGGTTGACTGATGAAATATTAAATTTAGAAAATATTATAATGTAAACAATTAGTGAAAGAATGATATAGGCAAAAGCTTTAATATTTAAATAAAGCTCATGTGACGTTTACAACTCAAGTTAGCTTCATATCAGAAAAAGCACATTATCTAACATGCAGAGAACAGCTATAATTTAGACACAAATCAATTTAGTTACTGTAATTCCACACCAGTTGTTACAGATTAAATAAGAAAAATAATCCCCAGTTATTCATACTGACTGATATTATTTAGCTAGTAACACACAGGATTGTGCCTGCACTTTACAGAAAGCAATCCAAGCTGACACTGTCATCTATATCCAATTATTTTCTTACTCAAAGAGCAAAGAGGAAGTGCTGTAAATTGACTTCCTCTTCATTTCTGTTAATTAGTTTAGTGATACCAAAAGTGCATCAGAATCAGGGTTAGTTTAGCACACAGATAACTTGATGTGTGCAGCCACAAGCTGGTATATGTAAATAAACATTTACATACACATACATACACTTTAAACAACTCTGAGACATAAGGGGAAAAAAAATAGAAGGGCAAAGAGAATGGTGTGGAGAGTCAGAAGCAGCAAGAACATAAAGGAAAGAAAAGGAAAACAAAGCATTTCCACGCGCTGCAGATTTTCAAAGCAGTTAACATTTTCCTGCGCCCTGCTCTGAGGCAAGCTGCTCCCAAAGTCCTTCTGGGGCCTTGAGGCATCTTCAAAGCACAAATGTATAGACAACCTCCAACCACAGGAGCACTGACTTTTAGGTACAGTATACTTAGGTTAAACACAGTAAGCAGAAATATTGCACATAGCTGCATGTCGCAAGATCGGAAGCAAAGAATCATCTAGCACTAGATGATTAATTGTAACAAGCACAATTAGGTAAGTTACATCAAAAATAAACAGCTCTAGAATGATGTATATGCTTCAGCATTTGGTTCAGGTATGCTTTGAATGTTAGTACATACAGTATTTTGACCAAATAATTCATAATATTCCTAAAAATTTAAGTTGTCAATAAAACTAAAACTATCATTAACAATATGAAGTACAAAGTCACGTACGACTATTCTGTGATCTACTCTTTCTACTCATAAAAAAAATAAATCAACTATTAAAATATCTCTATATAGGCACATCAACATTTGTTTAATCCAGTTCAATATGGTTTGTACATGAAGATTCCTCCTTCTTTCCCCATTGCCACCATAAAGTTATGAGAAAATAAAACTGCAGGGCCATTTTTAATCAAGGGTTCCAGCACACAAAGATGTAGATACCTGTTCACTAAGATTATCAGAAGCTCCTTACAAAGTTACTCATTTTGCACAGTAGTTGCCTTCCAACCACCTTTGTATAAAATAAGTATGTTTAAAATTGTATAAAATAAGTATGTGCCTCTGAAAGTTCAGTACTTTTGAAACCACAGTTATTGGTTCTGCATGTTCTCTAACCAGAATATAAATAGTTCTAAATTGATCATCTACAGAAGAACTACATGGATTACCAGTAATATAAACGAAAATACCAAGGCCCAGATAAAATGCATATAAGAAGCAGCCATGCAGAGTGCAGCTATACAAGACTAATCAATTATACTGCTAAACGTTTATCAAAAGGCTGACAAAAAAATTTTTAAAAAATCAACCTGAAACAATTACATTTTTTTCAATACCCTCTCCTGATTATGAGATGGTTTTACCATTATTCAATTTACAACTGAAACAAATTTAATATTGAGTAATTAAATTAAAATGGAAAATATGCAAGCAAATCGAGAATAGAACTTCCATGAATGGAAATTAAATGATCATGTTCTCTAGCAGACATGCAAGCAAGCCAACTTGGTTAAAAAAAATACACAAGGTTATTTTATGTCCTGTCAAAAGGGCATGCAATGACTTATTTCAATGACAGTAAAAATTTCTTCTTCCAAAGGAGAATTTGGATCAATGATTGGAAGCTTTAAGTTATATTGTCATATCAAGATATTAAAGAAAACAGTTTAATATCTCTTCCAATTTGTTTCAAGCAAAAAGATTAGTGTGACAAACAAGACACATTCCTTGTCATTAGGCATGTATGCCAAACAGCACACTTGAATGCTAAATTAAAACTTTTTATATGCAAAGTCAGTTAGACTTCAATACTCAGAAAACACAGAGTACCTGCCTTGGAGGACAGGATAACACTTACAAAGATAGCACTTACAGCTATTTCACAGCTTAGGAATTGCAGAATTAGTTGCAAGAAAGTACTAACAGGGTAGAATTTCAATCAGAAACAAATATGATATCAAGCACATTTTTTTTCTCTTAATTGCATTTATTAGGCTGATACATTTTTGTATATCAAATATCGTATTGCCTTTCTGGTAGTTTCTACATATTCATCCATTTTATTATAAACTTCAAGCTACTATTTCATACATCAGCGCTCTCAATACACTGTATACAATCTGACAGAGGCTGAAAAAAAAAAGACTAATTGAAGAAATAAGAGTCTATTTAGACCACTGAAGACATATTTACTCTTCTACTGAAATGCACATCTGGAAGGGAATGAATGCAAGGGCATGAATGCAAGGGCATTTGTAGTGCACACTTATTAAGAAAAAATAATCTAAAATAATTGCGTTTCTCTTATATTTTGTTATGCAATGCCTAGATTCATAACAGAGGACAGAATAAATCAATGTTGTTTTAAATCCAGGTAGAATATTAACTAAATAAATTTGAAAAATGAAATGAGGAGAAATTGCCTTTTATAATTTTTTTTTAATTTATTACAAAAAAATTAAGCGTGGCCAGGAGGTGCAACTCTAAACCATAAAAAACCAATATGGCAATAAAGTAAAATATTTAAGTTTAAAATGCTACTATAGTTTCACAGAACAGTGATTTCCTCTGTTGACAGACTAAAAAGCATGATAATTGCAGCTATGCAACTACATCTGAAAGTTTAATTCACATTTACTGTGTTCCTCTTTCTGGGGGAATTATCTTCAGATGTACAGAAGATTAAGTTCTGTATCCAGTTCTCAATTCCAAAGCTGTTGAAAAGTATGAGTAATCAGAAAGATTTCTGGAGTGCACAGAAGCAGTCAAAGCAGCAACTTGGTTAAGATTATCCAACTAAAATATCACAATTTAGGAAGCATTTCCAATTAATCTCAACCACATAATAATGAATAAAATGATCAGAGCTTAAATCAAGTAAGTAAAGTGATGTGCAGATGTTCAATACCACAGCATATCAGTAGAAACTGTGCTTTAAAAGTGAAAACAAAGGAATACCTTTGATGAATATACAGCAGAGACTGTCATTAACAGCAGTATTTGTCTGTGCAAAAGTGTTCCTAAGGAGCTGCTATCATTTTCAGATTGGTAACAGTATAAAGCAGAAAAAAATGTTCCCAGAGGTGCATCGCCTGTAAATACCTATACTCTTACAAGATAAAGCTACCATAAGCAAGCAACAGTAGAGAAAACAGATGACATTTATTCACATACTATCCTTAATGATTTTCAATGCGCGAACTCTAAGTAACAGTTTCTACAGAGGCAGAGAACGCAATTTCAGTGACACACAGGATCTGCTCTGCTTTTAACACCATGCTTTAAATGCCACTTGGTTAAACTGAAACAGGACTACGTATCTGTAGTGGAGTTGGCTGTAGCAATTATTTGGGCCCATGATTTAATTAGTTAGATTTCTCTAGCTCAAATGCAGAAGGCTGGAGTATTTGATCAGTGTGAATACAGTACACATTGTCCCTTAAGCCATCACCTTTCGCTTCTGCTGGGAAGAGCCCATGTTATACTGGCCAGCGGCTCTGCGTGCTTCCTCTTCGTGCTGCTGGATTTGTTGTTGCAACAGAATGAGTTCACCAAGCAGGCCCTGCCACGAGTTTATAATAAAAAGGAAAGGAAAAATTTGGGGTGTAAGGAGAACAAAGTTAAACCAAAGGGCGCGACAAAGACAGATGAAAAACAGGTATGAATAGGTCAGTTCAAACAAAAGTGAAATTTCATTAGCAAGATCTCTTGCTAGCTAGCTGGGAGTGGATATAGCCAGCAAAACCATGCATTTTGCAAATCCAGCTAAAACAAAATAATAAACATTTAGCTACATTTTATAATTACATTAGACTCTAACTAAGCATGGCTTTAACTATCCTGGCTGTAAAATATTCTCAAAGGTTTCAGGATTTCATTTCAAGTATTCATGCCAAAAGTTCTTAAGTATCAGCATTTTTTCACAACTTAACCATGCACGCACTTAAAGAGAGTGTTTTTGGATATTCTACACAAAATTGTGCACAACAGCTAACAGGCTCAACTCTGTCAGTAACGTAGAAGTTCTCATTTTGTTCTTATTCCCAGCAACGCACAGTTTATAGAAAGATGATTCTACCTGTTACTTAACTTTCTCAAACTAAGAAAAGTAGTTTCTAGAGCATAAAGAAAGAAAAAGGCCCCTATCCACTTCTAACCCACTGCAGTTAAAATTCATGCTGTCATAATCCTTCCTGATTGCTTCAAAATCTCTGCAACTCAATGCCTATTCCTTTACTTATACAGAGCTTCCACAAAGCTTAGTTTTCTTTTCTTCTCTTCTCCCTCCACACCACATAGTCTTGTAACAGTAAGCTGTCTTTCAAGATTGGTTTAGAGATACTATGCCAGCACCTTGTGTACAATTTATTTCAGAGAATGTAGACAGAAGTATTCACAAACTTATTTTAATAAAACTCTTTAAAAAGTATTACACCTTCTAAGAAAACATTCAGTGAAATTAAAGGTTTCAAAAATGCACTTCAGGAATCAAAACAATCCCTGAAACAGAACCTGGGTGTAAGAGTTCAAGACATCTACTATCAAGTTATACATTTGTAGCATGAAATACATACACAGGCATGTACACATAAGGATAAACAACACAGGAGAGAATGGATAAAAGAAGAGAGACAATCAAATGACCAAATAAAAACATTTGTTGAACAGTGATTTATATAACATTTCAAGAACAGAAAAATCTTCACGTTTGCATTTTATTGAACCACTTTTATGATTTAGTAAATTTATATAGTGCCAGACTAGCAAATGCATTAGCTGTGCCAAGAACTCAGGCAAAGCAAAAGATTTAATTTCTATGCAGCAGTAGGGAGAGAGAGCCTCATGGTTACGCTGAGCATTAGAGGAACAACAATAACATTTTGCAAACAAGTAAACTCTCAGTGCGACCTGACACACTCCCTTTAAACATTATGCTATGGGTCAAGAAAAAGATCAAGAACAAACATTGAACAAAACCTGCCACGAAGGCCTTTTAGCATTTAAACAGGAATTGTAACCAATGTTTGAAGTCCCCAAATCTAACTATTAATGTCCAATTACTTTCTAAGATATCTCGTTCATGTGACTGTTACTCCATAGTAAAGTATGAAAAGCCCTTTTCAATTACAGTTACCCCACTTAATAAAATACTCAAGTAAAAACCACAGTGATTTAAAAGGGTTCTCAACACTTTCTTCTTTGTATATATCAGTCAATCTTATTTCCTTTATTTTCTATTTCTTACTTTATAGGTTCAAATTTAAAAAAACCCTAAAAAATAACATCAAGAACTTTAAATACCACAGAACTACACACACAGTAGCCAGACTCAGGCTGGTGTGAACCAGGACACAAGCAAAAATATTTACATCTCTGTCATTGGACACTACCACTGTTCCCCAACCTGACTCCTCCTCAACCAATCGTTCCAGTGTAAAACTGTATTTACTTGAAAGAATTTTGTCTAAAACAAAACAAAACAAAACAAAACAAAAAAAAAATCAACATTGATCAATTACTGGGATTTCAAAACCAAAGTTGTTTACAATCATATTATTTTCATTACCAAAGAAACAATGTAGAGGGGATAACACTAGTGGATAAACAGATGCAAATTCATCATAACAATCATAAGAATCTGGGTGCACAATAAATAAAAAAAGGCAAAACAAGTGCTGACATTGTTACTGCACAGGCTTTAAAAAAAACCCCAACACATTATTTTACATTAAAAGTTAATATGCTCTACTTCAGTTGAGTATGACTATCTTTTTAATTTAAAAGTTCCTCATGACTAAAGTATTTGTCCCCTATTTCCATAAGCAACCAAAACCCTGTCTTCTTGCACACCTCGACTCTTTCCACTGATTCCAGTGTGACTGTTCATGAGAAAAGCTGAGCCACAATAAGTCCTTGCAGGAAAAATAACGAAAGTGGAGGCATGTAACACAGTGAAAATGATGAGGAAGGTAAAGAGATCAATTTCTAAGAATCTGAATAAATGTCACAATTTTATCCAGAGTATCTATAACACGAAAGTGGGAATTAAATTGGGAATAGAACAGTGCTATGAATAGAAAAGAGAAAATTACGGAAACTTTATTGCATAACTTGCAAGAAAGAACAAAACAAAAAAGAATGTTTAAAAACCAAAAAAGACCGAGTCAAGCGATATTCCTTACTAAAGCCTCTTGGTCACTCTCCAGCATAGCTGTAGTGAAGAGCTGTAGAATTACTGTGCCGCTTCTTACACCAACTGAAGGTGACCCTGTGCTGGCTGAGCGAGGCAGTTTATGCACTGCCAAATCCTCACCAGTGCATCCAGTTCTTCAAGGCATGAGATTTTATCGTATTAGCAAAGGCAGAGAAAGGACTGTGTGGTTGGTTTTGAATTATTCATTTATCTGGCTTCTAAGCCCCAATATTTGAGTCACATTTTTCATACCCACTTCATCATAGCTATAACCACTATAAACTTTCTTTAAAAACTGGGCTAAGCTTTGGAATTGATTTGCTTTACAGGAAGCTGAAACTCTTTTAGGATATTTTTTTGGAGACAGACAACAGTGCAAGGTAATTTTCTAAGAAGGTAACGCTGCCATTTCAAATGCAAGCCTGAACTAGTCCCACACCTACAACACAATACAGTATTTTACTACACTATAGCTTTTATAACTATCCTCTCTCCTCTTTCTCCAACAACAAAATTTGTTATTTAATCCAAGCAGACACAGATTTAAACTCCATTCACTTAAATTCCTTATCTGAACACTCCAGTAATTTTACTTTAATTCTCTTTTCAAAAAAATCATACCTTTTGTATTAAATGAGAGATTATGATACAACATATTAGCTGGCAAGAAGCAGTACAGCCTGATTTGGTGTTCAGGACAACATTCACTCTCTCAAAGTTACCTTACAAACTAGCTGGTTTCTCACTCATTCTACAGGAATTTTTGAGAGACCCATCTGAGGACCATGCTCAATAACAGTGCTACAGAACATTCCTCCAAATGAGGAATTCCTAGATTCCTTTACCAGTTACTCACCTTTTCACAATGAAACAAAGAAAACCAGCTCAGACACATTGAATACAATGCTACAGCACTTTATGGATCCATACAATCACAATTCTTAAACTAGTATTGGTTGGCAGTGGAAAGCATTGAATGAAAAAAGGCCATCTAACCCATTGTCTTGAAAATAATAATTTTGTTTGCCAATAAATGAAGTGATGATGCCTTGTTAGGTATTCATATGTGCCTTGTTTGAAATATTACAACCAAAATCAATCATATTAATTAGCAAACCAACAGTTTCTAAGAATAACATATTGGATATGATTGGAATAACAAGAAGTAGTACACCAGACTAAATTTTCTAAATCATACTGATTTAATATGGGCTGATGTTTTCTGTACCACATCCAAAGTTTTGTTAGCAACATTAAAATGCAGTTGCCACTGTATCCGAAAAAAACACTGAATAGTAAGTATTAATGGTATTACTGGTGTTCAGTAAAAATGTCAGTTAATTTAGTTATCAAAGACAATAAACCAAGATGGCCACTTCTTCACAAATCAATAGTAAAGTATTTTTATGTTTTAAACAGTGAAACCTGTGCTAAGCAATCACTCGAGAAAATAAAACAATATATAGAGACAGTTTACTGGCAAAGGGGAAACAGAAAGCTAATTTAATTCTCATGGAGAAATCCATCACTGTTCTAAAGGGAAAAAAACAGTTATAAAAAGTGAGCTTTGTACAAGTTTCACCACATATTGTCATGCAGAATTAATGTAGAATAAATGTATACATGCCTGCATATACAGAAATGTCTTTTACGTAAAAGCCTCAGTTACAGTTTAGACACTTTCAGTTGCAAAAATAAATAACTTACAAATTCCCCAATATATATTGCTTTCCTTCAATTTTTTAAAAGAATTTTAAAAAATATACACAGGAAAAATGTAAAAGCCGTTAAAGAATGAGCAACATTACATTTTAGAAGTTTAATAGAAATAAGAACCACTATTCATAAAAGCAAAAAAAAAAAATTAAAATTCACCTTCTTTATTTCAAGGAAAAAATGCTAAAACTTGTAATTATCAAAATACAGTAACTTTTTTTTCTCCAGAAGATACTAACCAAAATGTGATGTATGCTTTATCTAAATAAAGTAAAAAGACAGACTGCTTTAAGAAACAGAAATTCTTTATTAAGGCAGAAATCCTTAAAAATCACAACTGTGTAAATGCCAACAGAAATGAGGTTGCAAGCAGAAATGCTTGAAAATAACTATAAAAGCCTAAACTACTTCAGTAATAAGCTATAAGATGAAATGCCACTGAGAGCATGCCCTGAAAATTTGCAAATGCACACAAAATACTGAAAATGACATTCTTATTACAAACCAATTTTCTTAAGAATGAAATCGCTAAAGATTTTTATGACTCCCTTGTATTTTCCTTACACCAATGTTTATCATTGTACTGTTTATATTCATTTTCAGTGATAAATTCTATTCAAGCTGATTCAAACAAACATCTGCAACTAGCTACCAAAGCACTTTTAAAAAAATTACCTGTTGTCAAGACATTTTTAGTTTTGCAAGAGATTAATTACCTTCTTGTACTGTTTGTCATTGTCATATCCCTGGTCAGTAGCTCTGAATGCTGTTTCTCCCGGAGAACCTAGAATATAATTATAGAAACTCGTTATAACATGCAAGAGTCACTTACAAATTCTCAAACTACACCTATGATAAAATTAAAGTTTCAACCCCTATGAGTTATTAATTCAATAATCTTTGAAGTTCCTATTAAAAAAAAAGATTCACCTTAAGAGCTGAAAAAGAAATTCAGTTTAAGACTCATCTAAAAATATTTTATCTAGTTTGTGGCTCAGATTAGTTATATCACAAGGCAGAAAGCAGCTTCAGTTAGACTATTAAAGTTCTGAAAACATTGTAAAATCAATTATTTCTGATAAACATGAAAAGATAATGCAAATTCCACTGATAGTATTGTAATGAGGAAAAAAATCCTTTCCCTTTGTAATGACAGAGGTTTTCAAAGCAAGCTTCTGGAATATGCCTGAATTAAAAAGCACCTGCTAAGGACCATGGCAGAGAAATAACAAATTCATTCTCACAGGGGAGGAGCTAAGTATTTTTAAAATAGTTGAAAAGTATTTGTAATTCAATATTAAATTGCTGTAAATAGTTGTGTTTACATTGGTATTTACTCCTCTTAGTATAGCACTGTTTTAAGAGTTTGCTTTAAAGAGGCAGGTTAAGGGCAGTAAAAAGGGCTTTTACACACCTAACAACAGAAGTAGATCAGAAGCTCCTATGACTTCACTAACCAAATTGTAACCTGTGAAAAATCAGCAGAAGAGGGGATATAAAAATTATAAATACAAAACAAAATGCAAAAAAAGATGAGGGATCTTTGTCTTATTTGGAGGACTACACAATCATAAATGGCAACTATGCCCATGTGAGTATGATAAATAATAGGGGACATCTCGCAACACCAGTCAATAACACAATTTTAAACAGCCAAAATACATAGGAGATTGTAATCTACTTGTCACTCTGTTGAACTTGATCCCTACTTAGGTACTTGCTGAGTTTGTAAGATTAATAAACTAGTTCCACCATTGACTGTATTTTAAGAAAATGAAAATAACCTTCTTATGCACACAGACACGGAAATATTTCAAACACACTTAGAGCATATACTTCACAGATACAATCTTTCATGAATACAAATTTACGCAGTTCGATAATCATTAAGGTAAATAATAGGAACAATCTTGCACTTTATTACAGGGATGACTGGATGAAGTTTTGAGCTGTGCTCATTCACAAGTCAGATATGATGACCAAACCAATCTTTTTAGCTTTAAAAAGCCAACAAATCAGAAATGTCTTATTAGGTCTCCCAAAACCTGAAAGCCTGCTACTACCTGTACAAACTGAATTGACAAACCATCCCCTTGTCTTTTGTGAAGGATTTAGAAGTTCTACCTACTCCTTTGAAACACAGCTCCTACCTAAGCTACATCTTCAAGCGAGTCCTTCTGGAGCTGCGTCCAGATGGAAAATATCATTCAATCCAAAAGAAAAACTTCATTATCAATCTATTCTTTCACATGCTTGCAACACTAAGAACCATCATTCTTAATAATCCGACTCCTTTCTCCTGTAACAGCTGTGCTACTGTTACTGTTCAGTGCCACTCTCACCTTCTCCAAGTTCCAGCTGGACACAGCCAGCTTCTATGACTCACTGAAGCAATCCAGCTTTCAATCTGTTTGTTTAATGTTGTACAAGAATTCTAGTTTTCTATTCAATTTCACATTTTGGTTCTCTGTACTTGCTACTAGAATCCTTGCTTTTAAAAATACATTACTTACCTGTGCCCATAATACTTTCAGACAAGAGCCAACGAGAAGGCATGCATTTCCAGGATCCGCTTCCTTTTAGTGTCTAAGGACATATCTGTAACCTCATCTTGCAACAGCTTATGTTCTCAAAACTAAAACTAAGCTGAAAAATTGTTCTCACCAGGAGAAAAAAATCCTTTCAGTGAAGTGAAGCTCTCTCCAATCTTGTCAAAGTCAGGCAGAAGTTTGGCAAGGTCATCTGCATCAGGAAGGGCTTTGATAAGCTTTTCTAGGAAAACAGTACAACAGCTAATGAGTAGGGGTTTTTCCTATTATTTTTGTACTCAAAACCAGCTTAGGCTGTAAAACCTAGCAACTATTTCAGAACATGACTTTTTTTCATTATTATTTTTTTTTTTTAAAATAAAGAATTAAAAAGTTTCTTTCCGCATGCACCTCCCCCAATTAGTGTTGGGAAACATTATCAGAGCTGAAAAACCAAGTGCTTTTTTAGACTTTGAACTTTCTGATAAGTTGGTTGCCCCCGGTGTTTTAAAACTTATTGCTGCATTTCACCACGTTTTGCACATTATTCCCTCACATACTTTATAGAGGATACTTTAAAATTACACAATACTGTAACTATGCTCACGTCTTGTACATTTTAAAAAAAGCTTATTTTTCATTTTCATAAATAAGTCAATTTTGTAATCCTTTAAGAAACACAAACTTACTAGCTTTAAAGTACTATAAAAATGCAGTGCCACTAGCAATAAAAACAAGAACACATTTGCCTGTTATTCAGTCTCTGCATTTATCTATGCAATGCTCATACATGTAAAAAGAACACCACCTTATTATCCTGCATATATAAGAAAGAACTGTGCTCATTTTTTAAATTTCTACCTTTCATCTGAAAATGTGCAAAAAAACCTACTGTAAGCAGAAGGTTCAGGAAAATAGAGTCTATTTTTAATTTTCTTCTGTACCTTCAACGTAATTTTGTAGATAGGTAGGTTCACTATTCTGCATTTTCAGTTGGTCTTTTACTTATACATAGATTTTACTTATCTATTTATATCTATAATTTTTACTGTTAAGCGTCATTCATATAGTAAGCAAGAACTTGGTGCACAATAATTCCAAAACCTGTGTAAGTCCCCTTGATCATGCTGCAATTCTCCTTTCAACAATGCAATTATATGGCCACGTGAAAGGACCAAGAACATTCTCAAATTAATGGATGAATTCTGAAATATCAATGCTAAAAATGCTTAATTTCTCCCTACAAACACACTGATACAAATACTGTGTTAAGACACACACCAGACTCTAACAATACAAATTACACTCAAATTACAGCTATAAAGATACTACTGGTGAGGGGCACTGAGGACCTTTATTTAACATATGCTAGTCTTTAGACAGAGGAACACTTTAGCTTTTGTGATACCGAAGTCAATATGTTCATCAAGCTCCCAAATGAAGTCAGGAACAATCCACTTATATTCATCGAGATCTGGCATCATGTCCTTCCACTGATCATACGTCTAATACAAAAAGGAGAAAAAAATATAGTGGAAATAGAAAAAGGAATGTATGTAGAGAAGCATATGAGCAATCTGTTGAAAAGTAATGCCTACGTATAAAATATACTAACCCACCATCTTCTAGATAGGAATAATATGACTTGGATCTTTTAAAATCTATACTAGTTCTCTAAACAATCTGTTGTCCATATTCACTCATCTTTATTGGCGTTAGTTAAGCAAACGGTATCTTGTATTTTTGTGGATATATCGCAAGTACATAACAACAAAGACAAAATGTATAAAATAGCTTCCACAGATAAATACCTTCTTAGCTGTATAACCACCACCTACAGCAGATCCTAATATAAGATAGCGAAGTTTGAGAAGCCTTGATGCTAGTCTAGCTAGCCAAAAGTTCCTGTGGAACTGGTAGCCGTATTTCACATTTAAAAGTTTTGTTTTGTGTAGGGGAAGTCGATTAAGAGAAGAGAACAGCTGAATGGATATCCTTAATGGAGGTCTTTGAAATTTTGAACTTGGATAATAGGGATGATGTATACTTCGGGAAACAAGATGCAAGTTTTGAAGTGGTGATTTTCTTTTTATTCCATAGCTGCTATTTGCTAGACTCCGGCAGATGACACTAAAAGAAAGAAATAAAAAGTCTAAGTAACAGATTTCCTCAATACACCATTAACTCAATAACCTCTCTAGAAGCAATTCCCACTACATTTTAGCTGGTTACAGATAAATCAGAGCATCATTCTAATTGTACAATTTCCAGCTATCATTGGTATGTTACCAGGAAAATAAAAGGCTGTAATCATCATTAATGGGTACAGTAATTCTAGTGATTACAGAAATAAAACCTTAAATATCATTTATGAAGTCTGTTATTAATTAAATTTAACTTCCACACTGGATTAAGGCAACTAACATGTCTGTGCTAAAACACACTTTGGGTAAACAGGAGCTAAGAGTCCACAGAAGACTATGGTCAACTCGCAACATAAAAGAAAATTTGACAGTTTGGTCTACCTTGTTATTCAAAATGAACTTTTAGAGAACATTAGGTTTGTAGAGGATTTTCAAACTTCAAAAAACCCAAACACAGACAAAATTCCATTTGTCCTTTTTTGGCAAAGCAGATTCTCCTTTGGAGTTGAAGCATGCACTTAATGACATCTTTCAGTTCCTTTCACTCTAAAATTCTGTGGATCTAGGATTACTGCATTATTGTTTTGCCTTAGGTCATGCATAGATAATCTGGAGATGGCTGCACCATGTTTGTTGAAGACTTCAATAAAGATTTATGCAAAGGGGAGAATTTCAGTCTGAAAGATTTGACTCTGAAAACAGAGCTCAGCCATGAAAAGCACCTGCTAAAACACAGGAACCTTATCAATCCTCCCAATGTTAAAATAAGCGCATAGGTTGGAATAAAGATCCTTGTAGACTTTCAATTACACTACCTGCATGCTTCAACGTTTGCTAGTTGAGGGAAAAGACAACTGCTCTGGAAAAAGCAATTTATTCCATTACTTTTTAGTCTCACCATCATATCGGAATGGTTAATACTCAATCATTTACTGGATGCAAAATATGAGTGAAGTTACAGTTCTTGAAATTAACGCTTGTTCCTTGATGCTTCTTTCAGAGTTTTCAATATCAGCACGTGCATTTACTTGCAAAGGGGACAAATACAAAAGAAGAAAGTGCTTCACACCATTGAGAAGACGAATTATTCGTCCCGCAATCCTAAATCATTTAACATTAGCAGTTCTTAAAGAGAATAAGTGAATCATATTAAAGGGAAAACATTACACCATTTTCTAATAACGTGCTCTATAATCTACACAGTTTCTTGGCTTGAGATTTGCCATGCACTAGACAAGACACGGTCTATGACAGCGTATTCTTAATGTCCAAAGAAGTGGAAGACTTTGTTATAAAAGTGCTTTTGACTAGAAATTGAGCTTTTGGAAGATAAGTTAAAAATCAGAATTATGTGAATTGAGACATTTTCCTCTCTCAAAAGAACAATTCTCCCAATGACCTATGTTTAGCAATCTCCTTTAGTGTAATGGAAAGCTTAAAAAAAGGGAACTCCACTGACTGTTACAAAAGTCTGCATTCATAAAAGCCACTATGATTTTGAAGGGTATACTCTTACTGCTATACTAAACTAATTAGAAGGCTGTGCCTTTGCAGTAACAAACTTAATATCCAGAAAGAGAATAATAAGCAAGAGCAGAATAATCCCTAAAGTAGTAACAAGTTTCTTCTCTTTGACATGGAATTATAAGAGGCTCAGAAATTAACTGCAGATAGTACCAATACAAAAGTGGCTACATAACAACAAAGAATGAAAGTGCCTCCACACTAGAAACGTTTTATTTCCCACTTTCAAAGATAGTTTTTCAAATCTGGGTGTGGTAAGGCTGTAGGAAGCAAGCTGATGACTGGGCCACTATTTCTTTTGTTTTGCAGTCACTACCATTACACAGATATTTAATATTTTCAGTAGAGACTAAGTGGTAGCATATACTATAGCAGCCACTTCCCATTAGTAGTCTTCACCTAGGTTAAAGGCATTTGGTAATATTATGTAATTTTCTTCTTGGTGATTGTGCTTTTAAAATACACCATGTTTTACAGCACTCATTCTGTATGTTTAAACTTCAGGAAAAACTGAGTTCAGTCACAAATTGTTATGGCAAGAACTTGGTCAACAACTGCCTTTTGAGTGCTATGGCATATTTCAAACCCTACCTGCTTTAATTGCACATATAAAATCTTGTAATTCATTAAAAGAAAACACCACTCCACCACCACACCAAAACATCCATTTTCTCCTTTCTTCTCTCCTTCTGCTGTAAAAAGACTGACCAAAAAAAAAAAAAAAAAAAAAAAATCACCTTGAGATCTTCACTGAAAAGTGCATTTAGACTGAAAAGGGTGCCAAAACAATGCTATTAAATGAAGTATTTAATGAGTTCCAAATTTAAAGCCTCTGGAAAGCCGTTTTTAACAACAATAACAAAAAATAGCCTTCCAGACATGAGTAGCTCTGACATTAGAATCTGCCTGATTACAGGCCTGCAACCTAACTGCTCCTGCATTGCACTGAGATTATAGATACTTGTAAAATGAGAAAAAGTGGCCTGTTACTACCGATAGCCAAGCATCGCACCCAAAGTCATACCTAACATTTTACACATATAGCTCCAGTTTAAGAGTTCAAAAAATCCCCACCTCAGCTGGGACAAAAGACAGGTTATATACACTTTCAATGGCTATGACTGCAAAGCAGTCTTTCAAATGTAACACAACAAAAAGCACTCTGGTACTTTCTTTCTCATTCAGCACTAGATAACATTGATTTTCCTACTGCTGCTCAAGGAACATTGTGAGATTGCCAGCCGATCGGTTTCACCGTTCCTGTCTGGAATCATGTAGAACAGTGAAAACCAAGAGTAACGTAGTGAACCTGCTGGGGAGGGCCAACGCCTGGACGTGAAGGCGGCCCGAATGCCCGAGGGCGGGAATGCGGGAGACACAGCTCCCTTCCATACTGCATCCCCAGGTCCCAAGGGAGCTGAGGGATGGGGGATTTCCCCGCCTGGGAGCAGCAGCCCCTCCCCACCAGGCCTCAGGCTCCCCCTGCGCCATTCACACACACAGAGCCCTCCTCCCCTCGCACCCCGACCAGCTCCGGCCTCCCCCGCGGGCAGCCCCGTTCCCACGGG